TGGTGACTGTCTTCTGCTGCCTGCTGACTGGGATCATCGCCCTTGTCTACTCACATGAGGTAAGGACGGCGCGGTCCTGATTTACAGTGAACTGACCCGGCACCTCAAATCCCCTGTCCTGCCACTGCGTGTCTCTTCTAACCTCTCCCCTTCTCCTCCCGCACCAGACCCGGGCTGCACTTGGCCGTGGGGACATGGCCCAAGCCAACGTGGCATCCAAAAAGGCCCAGTCGTTGGTTCTCTTCAGCCTCCTCTTTGGGTTGTTCGCCTCCATCAGCTGGGTCATCTACGTTCTGGTGGCCCTGTACCTATGACAGGGACCCCGAGCCCCAGGGACACACCAAGTGCCGGGGATTCCTTGAGCCTCACCATGGCCTGGGGGGGCACAGGCAGGTGGAGCGGCCGCAGCCCCCATTGTGGCATCGCTGGGTTTGCTGTGGGGAATGGGTGACCACAAAGTATTATCGGCGCTGAGGGGCAGCATCTGTTCTTCCTGGCGGGGCGAGGAGCTGCTCCGGAGCTGCACATGCCTTCACCCACCCTCTCTCAGCCCTGTGAACTGTGACGTGTGCAGGACGAACCCAGACCAAAGTGATGCCAGCACCGTGCCCCGCTGGAACCAGCTCTGGGCAAGGAACATTGTTGGAGTGGCGGCACCACATATGGGATCAGGCTCTGCTGCGGGATGTCGAATCCCGATACAGTGGATTGTCACTTGGAGATGCAAACGAGACTCTGTCGCAGGGGGAGTGTCTTACAGAGTCAGGGCTGGAGATGGAGCAAATGGCCAAGGCGTAACGGAGAGGCCAAGGCGTGCAGCCCAGGAGAAGCCCTCACTGGTAATTAATAACGTGAGAAGATATAAAACCACGTATTTAGCTTTTATGGTAATTCTGCAAACACAAATACACACACATGCTGAATCACCACCTTCTTGCTGCTTCCAGATTGAAATAAAATACAGGGGTAGCCAAAGCTTCTGTTTTCTGTGCACACCAAGGACCTCCCCCCCATCCCCGTGGCTTTTGTCCACCACAAAATTTAGGGTAAGTTTCTTGTAATCAGTCAAACCAGGGTTTCCTCCAAAAGCAGGCAGGTGTCCAAGCAGGACCTGGGGAAGGGCAACGCACACGGGGCTGTGCTGGGGATGCAGCAGCCCCAGGTCTGGGGGTGCCGCTTGCAGAGCGGCTGCAGGGAAAAGGAGGATGAGCCACTGGGTCTTCCAAAGGCTTCACTGACAAGCCGAGCGGGGATGTCAGTGTGCCCCACGCCAGGCCCTGCTCACGGCCATGCTCCCATCTGCCTCCTGGGGGGCTGGGACAGACCCTGCAGCCCCCTCGCGCTGTGCCGGGCTGGTGGGATGCAGCACCACGGTCCAGCCCTGGCAAGGGAGTGGGCGGTGCGTGCCGGGTCGGTGTCTGGGCATCCTCCTCCTAGGCTGGCCCATACCGATTATTTCCAGAAGAATTTTGAACTCCATCCAGGACTGAAATAGCACGGGGGCGTGCTCGGCTGCCCAGGGGTTATTTATAGCCCTCAGCCGCCTGGTACGCGGCTGCTGCACAGGCTGGGCTGTGGCCGGGGAAACGCCCTCCCACCCCCCTTTGGGGAGCCGGGACCCCCCGACACAGGGGACATCAGTGCCCGGAGGAAGGCGACAGGAGCAGGTATCCCCCCCAGTGTAGGGCTTGTACTGGGGTGAGACCATCTCGATGGAGGTAAGGAAGAGATTTACAGGGGAAAATAAAAGGGAAAAGGGCCAAGGGCAGAGGAAGTCCCCGAGGGGCACATGAGAAAACACAAGGCCACACCAGCGCTAGAACTGGATTCGATTGTCACTTTAATCCACAGACTGCTGCATGCACTGTAAACAGGATCATCAGGCAGGTTTGTTATTGGTGTTTATTTTTTATATAAAAGTTACAGGTCTGAAATGTTTGCAGGAAGATGCCACCATCGGGAGTGGGTTAGTGGTAAATATATAACACGACCGAACAGCTGGGGGTGGGGCAGCGGCCTCTGAGCGAGGCAGGGCGCTGGTGACTGGGGAACATCGCTTCTCCCCACTCCCTGCCCTGCACGGAGAGGGCACCGACAGTCCTCCCTCTCCCCAAAGAGGGAGTTGATGCTCTCGAGGATGCTGTCTGCGAGACATGGGAACGCGCTCATGGCCAGTCCTGCAAAGGGCTGCTGTTGTGGGCTTCTGCTCCCAGAGAGGGGCAGGGGGGTCTCTGGAGCTGCTCTGGGCGAGATCTTCCTTTAGGGTTCCTCTGGCCCCGTGAGCCAGTAGCTGAGGTCGGGACACTCTGCTCGGCTGGGGATGGCCGCAGAGCAAAGGGGAGAAGCAGGGCGGAAAGCTGGGGGGCTTGGTCCTACCATGCTGGACGAGGTGCTGTGGCTGTGCAGACCTCCCGTCCCCATGCCATGGGCTGAGCCTCCAGCTTTGGGTGGGCTGGTGGAGGGCAGGGAGCAAGACCCCACTTTGGCACTAAAAGGGCTTGTGGTTTCAAGCGCTGGGAAGAACCTGGAAACAGCTCCGGTTCTCAGTAAGAAAGGAGGCAAGCATCCCGGCAGGGCTGAAGACAAAGGTGTACCCTCCCGTCCCCCCGTGACATCGAGTCCCAGCCACAAACACTGCACAGGGAAAGCGGAGCAATGGGCTGTAGTTGTAGTGCCACCACCGCACACGACATTCATAGAAACGGCCTCTGCCACAACACACCATCCGAGGGAGGTGCTCAGAGATGGCCGGGGGGAAGCCTGTGCCAGACATGGGTGTATTTGCCTTTTCACAGTCTCATCATGTCAGGTTTTTTAAAAATCTTACTTACAAAGGGAAACACAAGCATTACTTCCTGTGTAGAAGGCTGGGAAGCCTTTGGGGATTGCAAAGCCTTGGCTGGACACGACACATAGCTCCAATGCCCTTAGTGCCATAAAAATAAACCATTTTTGAAGTGTTCTGGCTCGGACACTGTGTTTCAGCACAAGAAGATTCCCGCTCTGCCTGCTCTGGGGTTGCACGGCATGCACCGGTGTGGGATCTCGTGCTCTCCTCCCCCAGACAATGGCCTCATGGGCGGCGGGGTCTCTGTGCTTCAGCATTTGACTGCTGTGTGAGTTCTGTGCCTAAATCAGGAAAATAATTGAGCTGGGTACAATCCTATGAAAGGGGCAACAACGCTGTTGCTCCCTCCTGCTGCCCATCAGGCAGAGCTGCCGTCTGCAGGGAGCTGGCTAAGACTTTGCAATCTGTTTGTAGAAGGAAGTGCTTGCAACTCCGATCCACCCAAAATAAACACAGGCTTTAGCAAACATGGAGTTGCTATTGAGAAATAAGTTAAGGATGCTCTGCAAAACACCCCGTCTGTATTCCTTGCAAGCTGCTGCCCTAAACTGCAGGATTTTGTTAGACAGAACTCTGTAAAACCATGTGACCACGCGACACGGTGCTGGGAAAGGCCTCACAAGGCTGCTAAAATCTACAGCATACACTCAAATGCATGATCCACACTGTAAACCATCAGATAAGGACCGAGAGGAGGGATGTGAAATGGCCCATCTGGGGCTGCACTGGGGAGGATGCCCCGGGGGGGACACAGAGAGGGGACAGAGGGCTGAATAAGGCACACCGAACAGATTGGGGTTAACGCTGCATGTGTGGGAAATGAGATGCTCCCCTCGTTCTTCCACGCTGGGCTGCCCCTGCTCCGGCACGGCGGGACTGGGGACGGGGACCTGCTGGGGCTCCTGCCAAAGCACGGATCACAAAGCACAGCACCAAGGGTCAGCCAGATGGGCACTCCCCGAAAAAAACATTTGGCAACAGTGAGAGGAGAGAGGAGTGGGGCAGAGGGGAGGGGGCAGCTTGGCTGGGCACAGGGCTCCTTCCCGGGTCCCATTTCCAACCCCAGAAACGGAGCCAGTGGCTCCTTTGCCCAGCTCCTGCACCCGCTCTGATGCCCAGCTCCTGCACCCCGAGCCTCCTTTCTTCCAGCACTTGGAACAACATTGTCACCGGTTCTGAATTCTATACATACTGTTTTGCACTTTTCTTGTTTTCCTATAAACCCATCGGTACTCAGACATGCATCAAAAAAATCCCCAATGGATTCTAAATACCAATATGTACAGTCTTGTATACTACAGCTATTACTGTGCAAAAGCTAGTACCATCGCTAAAAGATACGGGTTCACAGGACGAGTGAACCGCAGTACCTCGGGTAGTCAATGTTTCCAGGGTTCGGAGGGATTACCGTTGCTTAAATAACGAGATCTGAGAGGAGGAGGGGGATACGCTGACTGGAGATGGCGGGTCCCTGCCCACATTTTCAGTGCCTCTTCCGTATCTACGACCGGTGCCTTCCTCCCATGAAGAAGGCGCGAGAGATCTGGGGTAAACCGGAGACCCCTGTAAACACAAGCAGCTCTCTGAAAGCAGAGCTCCTCTGGCAGGCAGCAGGAGGCTCTTCCACCCTCATCTCCTAGGGATGAACATGTTTCGAGGTGGCATTGCAGGGGAGACTCAAACCCTTGACTTCCATGGCTGCTGCCTGCTGA